TAACTGCTATTTTCAGCCGTTTAAATTGCTACGGGTTACTTGCAGTACCACTGGGGATTTGGCAAATGTAAGTTTGCCATGCATTGCAACGCAACGCCAGAGGAGGATTCCGGGATTCTGTGACTTCTGCAGTGTTGCCCCATTCCACTTTTTGTGGATGGCATTTGACATCAGTTTTTGGGCCAATTAAAAGTGAGTCTCCTTCAGCTTGATGTTTGAGGAGATACAGGAAGCCCTGTTCTGGCAATATGTTCTTACTCTGCTGCCAAGATTGCAGACTAGGTCCCCCAGCTAGGTGCCCTTTCTCCCCCTTTTTTGGTTGGGAGGGTTCCCCTACTAAAATAAACTACGGAAAAAAAAGGGTACCCTTATTCTAACCTCTTTACTGGAGGACCTAGCAGAATAAGAGATGGTGAAGCAGGTGTGTATCCGCCTCTGCGCGATTTTGCGCGGCCGTTAGTGTCAGAAAGCTTAGAATGGAGTGCAACGTGTTTGGACTCCTTGAGCAAATGTCGGGGATTGGACATGGGTCCTGGTCATTTCGTTTTGGGAAGTATCAAACCAGTGTCATGGACATTTGAGGGGTTGCCCTTCAATGTTTCTTCACATTTGCAGATCATTTTGGATAGATTTGGGCGCGAAACGACTCACTGAATTCAATCCCGCGGTTCCATTCGATTTCACTTTTCACTTCCCGTTGAGGGATGAGCCTCGTGGCTCGTGCGTTTGCTTCGTATCGTCCAAACCTTGAAGGTGTGGCTGACTGCGAGAGCGAATGTCGATCTTTTTGAGAAATGGTAGCACATCAGCCAACATTTGCCCTAGGGTTCAGCCCCCATTAAAGTAATGGCCTTGGGACCCAATTTGGATGATGACAATCCTGAAGGGTAAACAATGGTGGTTATGTGAATCGAACCATTGTTTCAACGGTTGCAACTGAACCCCAGGCTTTGAGTCAGGCTCCGCAGTCAAAACTTCCGCTCCAAAGTCCCACGGCCTCGGGCCGCTGAATTTCCTTGGTTCATGGACGCAGCGTCCGTAGCCAGAAAATCCGCGAAGTGCTACCGGGCTCCGAATAGAAGATACAGTTTGCAACCAATTGAAACATGGCTTTTTTCAACACCAAAATAAAGGGAAACCACCATTTAGAAGGCAATGATGAGGTGTATAATGTAAGGATCCCTGTGCTATAGTGGGAGTCCCTTTGGTGTCACAGAAAGGAGCGTTTCCCCTCCCCCCGCCCCCCGTTTTTTCCACATGGCCTTGGACCATCTTGCCCAAAAGGCTACGTTTTCTTGTCCGGATGTTCCACCATCCAGTTGATGGGAAGACAGGCATGCGGAGTGACCGCGGCGCCAGGCTTCGTTCGGTAGTGCGAGAAATGTAGGAGGTGTCGCGAGTATGTCGGCCTCGGACGCAAGAGAGGTGGCAACTTCCTTTGGAGAGATATCCACTTCTCGTTCGTGCCGCCGGGAACGTGCCATGCTTCGTCAGTTCTCATGTTTTGCCTTCGACCAAGAGGAACACTTTTGGCAAAATTCAAGGCATGGCCTGAGACGAAAGCTTCCGAAAGGGAAGCGATGGCACCTTGGCTACTCAGAACCTGTGACCCCGAAAGTGTCCGCCAGGAGGAGTTTACTGGCTGTTTGGCTTTGTTCAGAGCAACTCTTCGGTTCAGTGCCGGTGCCAAGGAGCGGTCTGAGTCTCGTTGAAGTCTCAAGGGCGGAACCTGCGCAGACCTCTGAGGCTACGGTGAGGGGCTTAGGGGTCGATGCGGTCGTTGTCTCTTCGAGGTGATGCCCAGTGGACCAAGGAAGAGACACTCAAGTGAGCCACAATCATAACCCGGGTAGATGAAGGTTGGTAAGGAAACGTAAATAGCTGCGGATATCCGCCTTCCTAATTCTTTACATGGTTCTGGGTAGACCATTTTAATACCGGGTTTTGATTGTGACTCCAGTGACGGGTGGTCAAGGAACACGGCGCTTGGTTTTTTGTTTGAACGGCAGGCTGGGTACAAGGCGCTTGACAACCCCGCTGGGTGTTTCTCCACGGATCCGCTTTCCTGACCCATGCACTGAGGAAAGTCAGTTGGCTGGCAAGCCCTGGTGGACCATTTGCAGGTCCCAAACCCCCAAATCTTCCAATTGGAGATTGGAGGGTCCAACGATGCGCTGGGTAGCTGGAAGATTATACTTTTGGGCGAGCATCTAGCAGGCAAACTGGCCAGGTCCCACACTGTCAAAGATCTGTACAAATAATATCACGATCTCACAAAGTGTGTTGGTTTGCGACCAATTTCCCTTTCCTCGCTGGTTTCAGCTCCAGTAGTGCCCTTTTACCAACTTTTTTGGGGGAGGAACCGCTACCAAAATAGACTACCGAAAAAAGTTGGTATTATTCTAACCTCTCCACTGGAGGACCTAGTCAGGCTTGTGATTTAGAGTCGCCTACCCACTGGCCATTACGGATACGCGCTCAGAGGCCAACGAGCCAAGGA